AGACTGAATTCTGTGCCCAGGGCAAGGGCCTCATTTGACTTACCCTAGTCCCAGCCTTCAGAGACAACTCCTCTCTCTCTTGTTCTGAGAAGATCTCTCTGGAGGCTGGGTATGTGGACAACATTATAAGTGAGGGGCACTATAAATGATGTGTAACTGTAATGTCCATACATGCTGCTCGAAATGGTCCAAGAGACAAAGGGATTGAGAGCTCCCAGACAGGGAAGAGACCAGGAACCAGGAGGGTATGGCAGGTGACCAGAAGTACCAGCCAGGACTCTGTCATGGAGGTCCTTCAATGGGGGTGCCCATATATGTCGATTCCCATTGGCACTGACTACCTGGGTCAGTAGTTGAGCTCACTGGGACAGTGCATGGTCCGAAAAGTTCCTCAGGTGGACTAATGTTCCGTGCCTTGGACCTATCTGTAGAAGACAAGGTTCTAAGATCCAGCATGTTCCTTAGCTCAGGCTGGGCTTGGAAAAGCAGAGGGTCAAGGGCAGAGCCCAGCACGTTCCTTTTCCGTGGACGGAGACTGTGCTTTACTGCTCCATGAACTTGCCACGCCAGCTCTCCAAGGTCACACAGGAGGAGGGCACTCCTCCAAGCCTGCGTGAGCCTGAGGGGCAGCCAAAGAGAGCCTGGCCAGGTTGGTGCGCAGGTGTGGACAGATCTTTAATCATGCCTCTGATCATGGACAAAGAAAGGTCAATGAACTGGGAATCAAATCAATTCAGCTGTCTGGACCAATTCATCATCCTTGGTGCCAACCAACCTTCTTGGAACTGTGCCCAGAGATGGGATCATCTCAGGTAAGCTGCCAAATCCCGAGCATGGAAGCTGCAGGGTGCTTCCTGCTCTCCCCACGCTGAGGTGATGGGTGGCTGCGCCGTGCTGTGCATACAAAGAAGGATGCAGGTAGGGGGTGTGCAAGAGGCAGCTGGTCGATGTTTCTCTCTCATTGACATTTCTAGCTCTCTATCTCTCTCCTTTCCTCTCTATAAAAAAATCAATAAAATATATTTAAAAAAACAAAACAAAGAGGGATGCCTACCCCCCATGGGGCCGAACACTGCCAGGAAGCACTGCCAGGTGGCAGCAGAGACCCTGCTCAGTCTTCCCGCTACGCCATGGACCGTTTCCTTGCTGCCTGCTGCCATCACCTCCTCCACACACAGCTCTTGCCAGGTACCAGGCTGTCCTGGGTGCTGTTACTGATATTTACACATGGGATGCTCATAAAGGCTATATGGAAGGGGCCCTAATTTTATCCATCTTCAGCGAAGGAACCTAAGGCACAAAGGTCACACATATTTGAGCCTGCGAATGCTGGCTCCATGGTGTGTGATTTCTAACCGGTTCTCAATATTCCTTCCCTAGTTTTCTTCTGAGAGACCACCTCTCCTTGACTCTCAAATTATGGGATGGGCACAGGGCCCTCCTTTCCAGGAGCAGACACAAGACAGACCTGGCCAATCAGCACAGCCATCCTTCTGGCTGCATGTGACCCACGGTCCAATGAGACTTCAGCTCTTCTCCTGGGAGCTGCAGCCATGAGGATACACAAGAAGAGGGCGCTGCAGCTAAAAAGATCCAGGTCCCTGAGGTTGAAACCAAGACAGGAGGACCGAGCCGAGACATGAAGAAATAGAGTCCTGAGGACCTCACATCCGCACCGGATCCAAGTGTCTGAAGCCAACCTACTCCTGGACTTTTCAGTTTCAGGGACAAAGAATTCCTCTTTCACATAAGCCAGTTTGAGCTAAGTGTCTGTCTTAGGCAACAGAACAAGTCAACAAATACAGGAGTTGGAAAAAGTAGGTTTACAGTTGTTAGTATGGAAAACAATACAATTATTTATATCCTCTCTAATAAAAGAGGGATATTTTTTATTTTATTTTATTGATTTTGTACAGAGAGGAAGAGAGAGAGATAGAGAATTAGAAACATCGATGAGAGAGTCATCGATCAGCTGCCTCTTGCACACCCCCTACTGGGGATGTGCCCGCAACCAAGGTACATGCCCTTCACCGGAATCGAACCTGGGACCTTTCAGTCCTCGGGCCGACGCTCTATCCACTGAGCCAAACCGGTCCCTATATCCTCTCTAATAAAAGAGAAACATGCAAATTGACCGTACCTATGCTACACTCACAAGCCACACCCACCAACCAATCAGGGCGAGTATGCAAATTAACCCAACAAAGATGCCAGTTAATTTGCATATCCAGGCCAGAGTGAAGACTGAAGACAGCATAGAAAGAAGTCAGTCACTGCAGAAGGGAGCAAAGCTGCAGAGAAACAAGCAAGCAGGGCTGTGGAGCAGGAAGGGAAGCAAGCAAGGCGGCAGAGATGGCAGCAGGAAGCCCTACTGCAGGAATCTTCCTGCAAGGGGCCTCTAGTGTGTGTGTGTGTGTGTGTGTGTGTGTGTGTGTGTGTGTGTGTGTGTATGAGCCTAATATGCAAATAAACCAAACAGCCAAACAACCGGTCACTGTGACATGCACTGACCAACAGGGGGTGCACGTAGGGCATGGCAGGCCACGGCAGGATGGTGAAGCAGGTATGGCAAGCTCATGGGGTGCCAGTCACTGTCATGGGACGAGTCTCTAGTGGTTACTGAAAATTCTTTGCTCCCACATGCCTTGGTCCCGCCCAGAGCTCACACCTGCTGCTGGCTCCCGGAGCCAGCCCTGATGTCAGCGGGTGCGAGTGGGGCTGGAGCCGTCAGTACATGGAAGCCACAGCAGCAGGAATGGGGCTGCCTGCAGACAGATGACCAGGGTCGTGGCAGGAGGGCCTGGGAGGGGGCACAGAGGATGGACCAAGACTCGCCCCTGTGCCCACTGGAGCCTTGCAGCCTACAGTTCCTTTCAAAGTGCATGAATTTGTGCACTGGCCCCCACATTAACTAATAATACAAGAGTGAACTCTTTCGTGTACTCCAATTATAATGCAACTTTGCCCACCTACACAGACAGGCTGTGGAAACAACACTCCTGAGTACCCAGCCTCCATCTGCAGGAACGTTCAGAGCAGCAGAGTGGGACCAGGCTACCCCCCCAAACTTCCCTGCCTGTTTGCCTGGGGATGAGAGAGCAATTGCACTAGAGGGTCAGAGAGAGTGATCTGAGGGAACTTGACAATTGTCCCTCCCACCTTTGTCTCTGCAGACAGGCCAGTAAGGACCGTTGGCTCCATGATGCTTAGAGTTCTTAACCCCAAGTACCAGTTTCCAGGCAGAGCAACTGCAGCATGAGCTCTCAAGTGTTCATGTTGCTGTGGCAACAGAAATGCCTCTGATTTGCAGGGACGTGGTGGTAAGTGACTATTTGTGAGAGGTTACCAAGAGTCAAAGAAATTCAATGCCATAAGGTGGCCACCACTCTGAAGGCAGATGTCAGGTCTAAGTGGGTAAGAATAGGACCGATAATGGAGAAAATCCAGGTAGAGAATTTTGGAGGGTGAACCAAAACAGGACAAATAAGAGAACTAGGGTGACAACTGCCCAGTGGGTACCCTAGATGTAATTCATTACTGGGCGATGGAAGGCTGTACATGGTGGGAAATCCTCCTGGGGAAGTTTAAGACTTCACAAGTCCTCGTGCTGAGGGTCTTATCGCACATACACAGTCTGGCATCAGGAACTCAGGGTTGGCTCATTAGCCTATCATTGTCACAGTGACCGGGGTTCCTTCCTCTCTGCCATGCTCAGCATGTCAGCCACGCCTCCCTCACCACCCGAAAGGAGCTATCACAATCACAAGCAGGACAAGAAAGAGATGTCTTCTCTTATCAGAAAGGACAGCCCTGCCTAGAAGCCTACCCAACTTCTGCTCCACACCCCACTGGGCAGAATTCGGTCACATGTTCATTCACTAGCCACAGAGCTGTGGGAAAGCAAGTTGCCAGGCGTCTCAGCTCCTAGCATGAAAGATGCCTGTGCCAGAGAGTGAGGGCCACAAATGGCTGCCGGGAGGCAATCAACAAAGTACCCAAATTCACATAAACTCTTACCAGCCCTAGCCAGTTTGGCTCAGTGGATAGAGTGTTAGCTTGTGGACTCTGGTTCGATTCCAGTGAAAGGCATATACTTGGGTTGCAGGCTCCTCCCCAGCCCAGGCCCTGGTCAGGGCTCATGCAGGAGGCAACCAATCGATGTGTTTCTCTTACATTGATGTTTCTCTCTGTCTTTCCCTCACTCTTCCACTCTCCCTAAAAATCAAAGGAGAAGTATCCTCATGTGAGGATTAACAATAACAACAAAAAACAAAAAACTCTCATACCAAGGGTTCTGCCATACATAACCTTATGGTATCCATATCATCATTCACTGAACATGTTCCCTAAATCAATACACCTTTGGTTTACTTTGACTTAGGTAGGAAATTTTACATCCTTATTACAAAGGCAAAACCACTACTAGATACATTTTTCCAATCCACGTTTAAATAAATTCGTAATGATTAAAGCAAGAATTATTTGCCTGCTTTGCCTAGAAGCATCCCTGGCCTCTCCCATAGTAGTCATACTGTGGGATGCATAGTTACGGGACAAAGTCATGTCCTTCTCGTTCCTGGGCCCTGATATCAGCATTTCCCTAGTGAAGAGCCACCAAGGGTCTGCATGGCAGGTGCCATGCCTACCACCTTTCCCCAGCGGTGGGAACAGCTCGGCCCCGCCCGCCACTCTCCAGCTGTCAAGACGAGAAGACATTCATGAAGCTTTTACATAATATTGTTAACCAATGCCACCCCAATAAATTTAATAAAAATTCGCAAAGACATTTAGCAACATCACCGTATGAGAACTAGCTGGTTTCCTGTACAATCACACCCCCACCCAAAATGTTTTGCTTTTTCCATTAAAATAAAAAATGTCCCAGAGGCTATAAGGACCTCTATGTGCCTTGGCACGAGACCATCCCCACTTCTTTATTCACAGGGTCCTCACTCATGATGACCATGGACAAAGAGAGGTGACCGGTGCCCGTTACTTACATCAGAGGCTGGACCCTTGTCAGCGCCTGGGCAGGAGAACGTGACAAATTCATGGCACCGCTTGTGCACAACAAAACAGCAGACTGCAAGAGAAAATAAGGGGAGGAGGCGGGGAGGAGGAGAGGGAGGAAGAGAGGAGAGGGAGAGAGAGATGGTTAAAACCTGAACTTCACGACAAGTAAAGGCTTTATGGCAAAGTAATGCTTTGGCTTCTGCCCCTATCCTAGCTGAAGTCAAACTGGGTACACTGATGTTAGGTCTTTCAAACTAGTTAACTTCCTAAAGTAACTTGGTCCAGAAGATTACATATACTCCACATCACACTCCCTGAGCATCAGTTACATTGCCGAGTTTGGAACAGAACGCTGTTCTTTAGATCGGGCACCATGAGAAGCTGCTGGCATGCGTCAGGCTCATAACACACAAGAAACATGTATACATAAACACTAGAATGGCACATAGAGAGAGGCAGGTCATAAAGGGCATGTGGAAACAGAGGAGCAGGAGACCCGCCCATCTCACCTAGGAGCAATGCTCAGCAGGTGGAAGAGTGGAGGAATAAGCTGTGATGTTTACACTACCAAACACATACACACATATTCTGTATTTGAATTTGTCTGAGTTAAATGCATCAGTGCATGGCTCTGCTATTTGGGGATTGTGTCACTTGGGCAAAGAGGAAGTCAGAGAATGTATACAACATAACACAGATTTTTTTTTATTCGTATCTTCCTTTGTAGTTTTGTTATTCAAATCACCTTAAACAAACTCTAGACTGTGGGTTCCTGGAGGACAGGGCCCATGTTAAAAGAAGAGCATCTTCCTTTTCTAGTTTGTTCTATTTTTCAATAAGAATTTTACATTCAGTATTACTTTGTATTATTTTCAGGTGTACTGAAGGTTGCCTGAGAGGAGAAGATTGGGGAATGGGTGTAAACAGGGAAGGGATTAAGAATTACAAACTGGTAGTTACAGAATAGTCACACGGATATAAAATACAGCATAGGGAATATAGTCAATAGTGCTGTAATAACTATGTATGGTGTCAGATGGATGTGAAATTTATCTGGATGATGACTTAATAAGTTATGTAATGTCTAATCATTGGTTGTATACCTGAAACTAATATAATATTGTATATCAACTATAATTGAAAAATAAAAAATTATTTAGGCACCGACCAAAGATAGCCAAGATGGTGGTGTAGGTAAATGCCAGTACTTGTCACCTCCCACAACCACATCAAAATTACAACTAAAATACAGAACTACCATCATTCAGAACCACCTGAAACATGGCTTAATGGAAGTCCTACAACTAGAGAAGAAAGCACATCAAGACAAAGGAAGAGTGGAGGCGAGGAACAGGCTGGTCCCACTCCCCGTGTGGCATGTTTTCAACCAGGAGGGATGTTGTGATGGCAAAGGCCTCCCATTAGGAGCAAGGAATCCCAGCCCAACAACAGACCCTCAGCCCAGGGTTCCAAAGCTGGGAAGAGAAGTTCCCTAACTTTGGGTTGTAAGAACCAGCAGGGACCATGGAACAGACTGATATACCTCAGTGTGGGATTGGGTGACAAAAAGAGATAAGCCAATGAAGTTATATGCATATCTCATAGACACAGGTAATAAGATGGTGAAGTTGGGAGGGGGGTATAGGGAGAGGGTCTCAAAGAAAGTGGGAAAGGCAGAAAATAAGAGATATCTGTAATGCTATCAGCAATAAAACCTACATTAAAAAAAAAAAACAGCGGGAACTTTGGCTGAGTGACACAGAGACTACTAGAATCTCAGAGAGTTCCTCTCAAAGGAACTGAGCACAAACTTACACAGTCCCACTCCCTCTGAGTCCCCAAACTGGGCAGTGGCTTTTGGGGATCAATGGACATACTTGGAGGAACTGAGCTGTCTGGCATTGGGGCAGGAACTCGGGGGTGGCTCTCTCCCAGACAGGGGTGCTTGCAGGGGCCATAGTTCTTATGCTGGGACCTCCCCTGTCACAGAGCTGACTGGCAGCCATATCTGAATTTCCCTCAGTGTGTCCCATACTGCTGGCTCTCTCTGGTGATTCCCTGATACCCCCACCCCATCCAATTTGCAGCCCCACCCAAGCTGTTTGCAGCAGCTTTTCCACATGAATGGCCTGTACTGACTCATGCTTCAGACTTTCCTAAAACTAACTCAAACAAGCAGCAGCCAGAGTCAGCATGCCCCAAACCTATCAATAAGAGGCCTAAAACCCAGCAGTAGCCTTAGCCTGTTTTGCTTCACAGCTGAATCTCACCTGGGCACTTCCTAGCCCAATACAAGTAGCAGACATCTGCAGATCTCTTTGTAGCTCCTGCTGAGTGGCTCCAGACAGTGGATGACTTTGCACCTCCTGGGAGGCCCTACAGCCAATGCACCCAGTGGATAGCTTCAGACCATACAAGATTACAACTCTACACATCCACAGCAACACAATCCACGGGCAGACTCAGTAAATACCAAAGCTCCACTGAAGTAAGTCTTGCTCCCTATGGGTATCTCCTGCACAGCAGATCAATTCCTCCAATTCCCAGTGACACCAATAACAATCAAGGCTCGACTACAACAAGACTGTGACACCTACTACACAAGGCCACTCTACCAATTCCAGAAGACATTAACAGCTCTACCTAATATATAGAAACAAACACAGGGAAGCAGCCAAAATGCAGAGACAATGAAACATCATCCTATCTAATAAAGAGGGATTATGCAAATTGACTGTCACACCGTAACAAAGATGGTTGCACCTACAGCAGAGGCAGGGATCCTGTAACACAAGATGGCTGCACCCAGACTCAGACAGGAGGAAGATTTTCATATGTATTTTACTAATTTTCTTTCATCTCTAACACATATATTATAGAGAAAGGGCAAATAGCATTATTAAAATAGTTCCTCTAATTAATTCCCTTTTAATGTGCACAAATTTCATGCACCGGGTCACTAGTATATTATAAAAGACCACTATGCAAATCAACTGAACGACGGAATGGCTGGTTGCTATGATGATCACTGACCACCAGGGGGCAGACACTCAAGGCAGGAGCTGCCCTCTGGTGGTCAGTGCATTTCCACAGGGGGAACACCACTCAGCCAGAAGCATTGCTAAGGAGCAGCAAGCTCTGGCTGGTGAGCACAGCATTGGTAGCAGGAGCCTCTCCCACCTTCACTGCAGGTGAACAGTAAGGAGCGAAGGGTCCCAGACTGTAAGAGTGATGTCTGACTGCCAGCTTAGGCCGAATCCCCCGGGGGAATATGGCCTAAGCCAGCAGGCATACATCCCCCAAGGGGTCCCAGTCTGTGAGAGAGTGCAGGCCAGGCTGAGGGACACCCCCCTCTACCCAACCCCCACCCCCACTGCCCCCAGTGCACAAATCTCATGCACTGGGCCTGTAGTGTTACAAATAAAAGAAATGGAAGCAAGAAAACTACTGGATACGAAGTTCAAAACAATGGTTATAAGGTTACTCAAGAATCTTAATGAGAGCTACAAGGAAATCAAAGAGAGCTTCAAGGGACTTAGTGAGACTTTCAAGGATCTTAATGAGAATGTCAGAGATATTTTTAAAAAGTCAGTCAGAAATTAATCATACACTAACTGAAATAAATAATAATTTATTGGGATTTGACAGTAGAGTAGAGGATTCCAAGAATCAAATCAATGACTTGGAGTATGAGGAAGCAAAAAACACTCAATCAGAAGACAAAAAAAAAAATCCAAAATATGAAGATAATGCAAGGAGTTTCTGGGTCAACTTCATGTGTTCCAATGTTTACATTATGGGGGTGCCAGAAGGAGAAGACAGAGAGCAAGATGTTAAAAACCTATGTGAAGAAATAATGACAGAAAATGTCCCCTACCTGGTGAAAGAAATAAACTTACACAACTAGGAAGCATGGAGAGTCCCAAACAAGAGGAATACAAAGAGACCCACACCAAGACACATCATAATTAAAATGCCAAGGGTTAAAGACAAAGAAAGAATCTTAAAAGCAGCAAGAGAAAAGTAGTTAGTTACCTACAAGGAAGTGCCCTATAACTGTCAGCTGATTTCTCAACAGAAACTATGCAAGCCAGAAGGGAGTGGCAAGAAATATTCAAAGTGATGAACAGCAAGAACCTACAACCAAGATTACTTCACCCAGCAAAGCTATCATTTAGAATTGAAGGTCAGATAAAGAGCTTCATGGACAAGAAAAAGCTAAAGTTCCTCGCCACCAAATCAGTATTAGATGAAATGTTGAAAGGTATTCTTTAAGAAAAGGAAGAAGGAAGAACAACAACAAAAATATGAACAATAAAATGGCAATAAATACACAACTGTCAACAATTAAATCTAAAAATCAAAATAAACCAACAAGAAATCTAGTGAACAAAAGAAACTGATGAATAAAATAGAACCAGAGGCATGGAACATAGAACAGACTGACGAATCTCAGAGGGAAGGGAAGCAGGAGAATGAGAAGAGATTAGCTAAATATCTTATATGCATATGTGCAATACCTATGGACACAGACAATAGGAAGATGAAGGCCTGGGGCTGGTCAGGAACCTACGGGCAGCGAGGGAGGGGGTAGAAAGGGACAACTGTAATACTCTCAACAATAAATTTTTTTTTTTTAATTATCTAAAGTCAGCCCTAATTGGTTTGGCTCAGTGTATAGAGCATTGGCTGCGGACTCAAGGGTCCCAGGTTCGATTCTGGTGAAGAGCATGTATCTTGGTTGCAGGCACATACCCAGTATGAGTGTGCAGGAGGCAGCTGATGGATGTTTCTAACTCTCTATCACTCTCCCTTCCTCTCTGTAAAAAAATCAATAAAATATGTATTTTTAAAATTATCTAAAGTCAAAAATAAATACATAAAAGCTATAAAATTAGAAACATAACTGCAAGAGGAAAAAAAGCAGGACAGAGGAGAAACTTAAATACTCAAAGAGATTTAAGAAACATATAAACTAAGTGGAATATATGGGTTTTTGATCCTAATTAAAGGCAACAACTAGTTCAAAAAGTATGAGATAATGTCAGGAAAAACTCCTGATGATGATGT